TGCAGGAGGCAGCTGATCAATGAATCTCTCTCACATTGATGTTTCTATCTCTCCCTCTCCCTTTCTTTCTGAAATCAATAAAACTATATTTTTAAAAAAGCATTACAATCCAGAGTGGTATATGATATATCACAAGTAAATAATACAAGCTTACACACTATAGAAGATCCAAGGAAGATATTATGGACTGGAATTATGTGGTTTCTTGACTGAGTCTGAGGGATAGTTTGATATAATGGGAAAGTGCAAGACAATGAATTGGAAGACCAGGTTTTCAGTACCACCCCATGCTAACTATTGTAACCTTATGACTTAGGCTTTCTGAAGTTAATTTTTCTCAGATGTCAATTGGGAACCATGCATCTCTTTTCTGCTTTACTTCAATATGTAAATCATAAAATAAAATGATATAAAATCTTTTGAAAACATTAAAATATGATTACAACCTAAGGATGTGTTGTTTTAATTTTTCATTACATACCATAGTATTTATTTTTTAAAAAAATATATTTTATTGATTTTTTACAGAGAGGAAGGGAGAGGGATAGAGAGTTAGAAACATCGATGAGAGAGAAACTTCGATCAGCTGCCTCCTGCACACCCCCTACTGGGGATGTGCCCACAACTAAGGTACATGCCCTTGACGGGAATTGAACCTGGGACCCTTGAGTCCACAGGCTGATGCTCTATCCACTGAGCCAAACCAGTTAGGGTGCCATAGTATTTATTTTTATTTTGTTAATCCTCAACCAAGGATATTTTCCCATTGACTTTTTTTTAACATATTTTTATTGATTTCAGAGAGGGAGAGGGAGAGAGACTGAAGCATCCATGATGAGAGAGAATCATGGAGGGAGAGAGAGAGAAACATTGATTGGTTGCCTTCTGCATGTGCTCCAATCTGGGCCGGGGATCAAACCTGCAACCCAAGTACATGCCCTTAACTAGGATTCGAACCTGAGACCCTTTGGTGCATGGGCCAACAGTCTAACCACTGAGCAACACAGGCCAAGACAATACCATAGTATTTACGCTGAAACACTAAGAAATGTTGAAAATACAATAGGAAGAGAAGAGCAATGCTGACATATAGTATGCATGGATGCATATTATTTAATAGGGAAAGGAAATTAATGACAGGGCTGTGATGCAAATCTGACTTTTTTGTTTGGGGACAATTCATACTATACCTATAATTATTTAGAAGCTAATAATAATTGTTATGAATGATGTAAGGATAATTATAGCCACTATTTATTGAGTCTTTACTATATGCCAGGGACTCTGCTAAGAGATTTTTATGCATTTTCTAATTTCATCTTCACAACAATCCTAAGAATCAACTATTATTGTTCCCATTTCACAGAGGGGAAAACTTGGGTCAGAGAGGTTGTCATTTGGCAAGGTCACACAGCTAGTCAGAGCAAGGCAGGATTTGAACCTAAATCTGCCTAACTTCTAAACCAGTAATTCCCATGACTTGGGAATATCACACAAAATGCAATGGTAAACTCCGAGCCAAATCAAGTGGTTCAATGTGTTTATTAAATCAGAAGTAGGTCTTTAAATAATAATTTTTTTTAAGCAAAGGTGAAGTAAGGAATGAAGTTATAGAGGAAACAGAAAGGCCAGTTCCTGGAAGACTTTTGTGCCATGTCTGAGAATTTAAACTGCTTCTGTGGGTAATCAGGAGCCACTGAAGGCTTCAAGAACAGAAATGTAATCATCGCCTGCCTGGCACAGAGGTGGAGTTCCATACACACCTAATGAACAACGGGATTTGTCTTTTAGAAAGAGTGACCTGGAGACAGTGTGGAATATGGTTTGGAGGGAAGTAAGACTGAAAGTAGGACAACTGTTAAGAGTTTGGGTAAAGATGGCAGAGCCTGAACTGGTGACACACAGGAGCTGGCTGGTACTGGGTTGGAGAACCAATTATGTATCTGCCCAACTTCGGGTTCAGTGACATCAAGGTGATCGTTTGAAATCAGCCATGGTGGGAGTATTTAAGCCACAGATGGGAAGGGTAGCGAAGTTATGATTAATTACCATGTTTCTCTATTATTAGATAGGATTGGCTAAGATGAGTCAAATGATACTGGTACCTCTTAACAGAAGGAGTTCAAGATAGGGGAAAGTGAATTCTGTTCAGGGAAAAAGAAGTATCTGTGGGACATGATGGTATAGATGTCCGGAAGATAGTGGTTATATAGATACTAGAGGCCTGGTGCATGAAATTCGTGTGGGGGCGGTGCGGGGGGCATTCCTCAGCCCAGCCTGCACCCTCTCCAATCTGGGATCCCTCTCACAATCCAGGACCACTGGCTTCTAAGTGCTCACCTGCCTGCCTTCCTGATCACCTCTAACTACCCTCCTCTGCTGGCCTGATCACCCCTAACCACCTCTGCCTTGGCCCCCACCACTGTGGCTTTGTCCAGAAGGAAGGCAGGATGACCGGTAGACCTGGTCTAATTAGCATATTACCCTTTTATTAGTATAGATGGGACTAAAAGGAGAGGTCTATATAAAATATGGGAACCATGGCCCAGCTGTGGCTCAGTGATTGAGCATCAGCCTATGTACCAGGAGGGCATAGTTCAATTCCAGATCAGGGCATGTGCCTGTGTTGCAGACTTCATCCCCAGTAGGGGGTGTGCAGGAGGCAGCCAATCAATGATTCTCTCATCATTGATGTTTCTCCCTTCCTCTCTAAAATCAATAAAAAATATATTTTAAAAATATGGGAACATGAGCATATATAACTGATAGTTGAAGTCATCGAAGTAGATGAATTTTTAACACAAAATAAAGGGACAGACCCTGGGAAGGGCTGTGGTAAGTTTTCATGTTTTATAAAGTAAATATAAACCAGTGGTTCTCAACCTTCCTAATGCTACGACCCTTTAATACAGTTCCTCATGTTGTGGTGACCCCCAATTTCACTGTTACAAATTGAACCTAATTAAAGCATAGTGATTTATCACAAAAACAATATGTAGTTATATATATGTTTTCTGATAGTCTTAGGTGACCCCTGTGAAAGGGTCGTTCCACCCCCAAAGGGGTTGTGACCCAGAGGTTGAGAACCGCTGATATAAATGAAACCATATATCTTTTTGTTCAAAGACTGAGAAAGTAGTTGGAATTATATTTTCTTTGTAAATACTGCATTTGGAATAAAATCACTGTAATGTAGTTTTAAGAATATTGGTATTTGATAAAAACAGGCATGTGATAAATCAGATTTATAAGATCTTTACAAGATTTATCAAAATGACACTTTAAAACGAAATATTTTATAATCCAAAAGATTAACTTATATAAAACATCTGAAAGAAAACATTCTTCAAAACTAGAGAAAACAAATTATTTCCAAAATGTAATTATAAGGAATTCTATACATACTTCTCTCTTGGCACTAGGTTGTAATTGTGTGTTTCTTTTCCTCTGCCACTAAATCTTACTGGGAGTAGGGAAATGCTGTGTCTTTTATGTATGTTTGGGGCCTTGTAAATAGTGTGTACTCAGGAGGGGGTGGGAAACTTTCTTTAACGACAGGATGGGAGGTTTGAAAAGAGATGATCTGGAAGGTCCCTTTCAACCCTGAGAGTATGAAAAGGGGAGCTGTGAGTTCCTCACCACTTAAAAGAAGAAGTGAGCTTCGTTCTTTGTAGCACCAAAGGGCCAATGTTTCAAAGCTAACACGGAAAGGAAGCCAGCTCTCAGCTCAGCATCACACAGGTAATAATTTCCTAACCATCGCAGCTACCCAATAGAGGAAAGACAGGCTGTCTCAGGAGATGGCTGCCTTCGAAGTAACTATAAAGTAAAAGCTGTAAGGATCCCCGGATATCTTTAGTTAGGTCCTCCCAGTCTTTTTCATGCCATTGCCCATACAGGAAATCGTACAGCACATCCATCAGTATCTCCAAGTGTCCTTGTCCCAAGTTCTCGGGGCTTTGGTAGGGAAAACTGACCGAGTACAGATCCTCATCTGCAGTGGCGTGAACTGAATCTCAGAGCAGGGGTGCGGCACTCCTGGCTCAAGAGTCAATGCTGGGGCTAGAACTCGAATCTTCCGTCAGCCAACTGGCCAGCCGCCTCCCCACAGAGTCAGCAGGGGGCCTGCCAGGCTGGAGGACTAGGTCAGCGTTAGCCGCATACATGGGACGCCGGTCTAGGCCAGCGTGGCTTCAAATGTGGTCCCGTGACCACTGCACCAGAGCTTGTCAAACCTTGGGGTGCGGGCTAAAAACGCAGATTCAGCCCTGGCCGGTGTGGCTCCGTGGGCTGGAGCGGTTCCCCTGCACCAGAGGCTGCCTGTTCGGCTCAGGGCACACGCCTACGTTGCGGGTTCCCTCCCCGGGGTGCACGGGAGGCAACCATTCGGTGTTTCCCTCTCCCATCGATGCCCCTCTCCCCCGACTTCCTAAGGTCAATAAATCATAATCTTCAAAACGAAACGCAGATTCATGAGTCAGGCGCTGCGGTCCGGTCCGGAAGCACGCATTTTGAGGTTGGAAAACACGCTCCCCTCCACTCCTCGGCGGCACTTCTGGCTCCTGCTGGCCCCGAGCGGCTCCGCAGGGCGCTCGACGCCCGCCCATCTGACCTCAGAGCAGCGTGGGCGCAGGCCGTGCAGTCTGGGC